GCTGTTCCACAGCGAAAAGTTTGTTCCCTTCAATGAACTGAATGATGGCATCACGAATTATTCTTATAGTAGTTTAACAACAATACTGGTCAAAATAACAGGGAGATAGTTCTGAACTAAGTTTCTAGATCCGGTTTTGAAGACCGGACTAATGATGGCATCTTTCCAGTCTCTTGGACATTTAGACTGGTCCAGAGACATATTGAAGATTACCGACAAGGGCTCGGCTATGTTATCAGCCAATGCTGTTAATATAAGTGGGTGGAGTTCATGTGATATGTCTATACGTTAGCTGGTTGTGAATCATAATATGTAATGTATTACTAAGAGATTAAGGCAGACATCACATTTTGCTAGATCCTGTCAGTATATAACAATGTACGACAATTTGCCTATTTGCTTATTATAATACAAAAACCCTAATTCCTTCTGAATTGCGCATTTATCACTTTAAATAAATAACTAAATGTTAAGCAAGCATCTGAAGCCCGTAATAAGTGAAGATAGATATATTAAGTCATTATTGTCACTACTTTTTTCAGCTCCAAGTGGAAAGCAGGGCTTCACCGTCACACTGCCACTTCACTCTGTTCTCTGAAGTCATTTTTATCCGACTTCACAATTGTCCACATGCCCTCATTTCCCCTTCACATGATCTCTCCCATGTCACCCTCGAATATACAACCCTTTGTATGCCATTCGCTTTTTATTCAACAGCCTAATATGTGACATTACACAACGATTTCTTCAGTGTATATCCAATCCATATCCATTTACATCTGCATGTTTATTGGGAGGACAATAGATTGTGGACCGGTTCGTTACCTGTCACAGCTCCATGTTGCATATTCTTTACAAACATCACTTAATCTCTCTTGTCAAGCCAGGGTAGGTAGCTGTTGATGAAAGTTTTCAGCAACGTGATAAAATGGTTCTTCATTATGTGTGTGCAAAGTCTCTGAACCATACAGAAGCACAGATTAGACATTAGTGTTTAAGATCCGTGTAATGTTCCCTATTCTAAGTATTGCACATTTCCAAACCGATTTCAGAGTAATGAAGGTTTGTCTTGCATTTCCAACCTTGCCTTTGATATCCTTATCCGCGCAGTACACCTGTAGTTAAAAGTATGCTGCATAGACAAGTGAAAGAAGTGACTTCCCTTAAATATCTCCCACTGATGTCGACTGATGCTTTTCGTTGTTGGTCAGGTATCCTCATCGCTTGTGTCTTCTCTATGCTTACTTGATGTCATCTCTTTGATGCCACTTCTGCCAACGATACATCACATGGATTGACATTATTAGTAGTATATCATGTTAGTTCTTGTGCTTTTGGTAGCATTGCGTGTTCTCCTAATTTTACAACACTTTTTATATTATATTTAATTTCGCGTAGGCATATCCTACCTTCCTTCCTTCATTTTGAATGAATTCAGAATCATGTCACCCTGATAACTTCACAGTTCTCTTACATATTTAATTGAGTTTTAGATTTTCCAATCGATTGATCGGACTGAAGAGCTTGATTACAGGTTGACTTATCGGCTCCTAGTGCAGATGTTTCGACGATTTCTGGTCATGTAATTCAAAGTCGAGTGGTGGGTGGTGAATATCTGTGGAATCCAGGGTGCACGCTTCGCCTTATTGGGGACTTGTCATCTGGATGTACTTGCATCCCCCAGTGATTGATAGTGTTCCCACTGAGGATCTAACCCAGTGCCCATAGTTCCAAACTCCAAAGCGTTGTCTTCTAGACTACTTGTGCAACGGGTCTTATTAATTATTTAGTTGAATTTTAGATTTTCCTGTCGATAGATTAGACCGAAGTGCTCTGTCTCACCAACTGACTTCAAGTCACATGACTACACATCATCGAAGCATCTGCACAAGAAGCCGACATGTCAACCTGAATCTAAAAGCGAGCCAGATGGTGAATGTTCTGAGTATTTGTCCTTTTGTAACTTGTCCATTGCCACTTCTAGGTCATTATAAACAGCAACAATAAAGCATTTCACGATGCGTCAATTAAATAAAATGAATGGATTCATTATTAATCCACAAACCAGTACATCAACTTCATCCTGAAAAACCCAAACTGTATTTTTCATTATGAAAGGAAATTAGTTGAAGGACTACTAGAAGATTAAATGCGCTGATGAATGGACATTCTCCGAAAACGGCCACTAAAACCTCTAAACAAATGATACTTTGCAGCTAGCCTCCGAATAATAACATACTGGGCCACAATAATTTACAGATTACTAGCTCCTGTGGAGCTAAGCACATAAGCTGTTTTTAAAACTCGCTAGTGGACACTACCCGGCTTGATTAGCAAATAGTCAAGGGTGATATGTCGTGAGTTTCATGACAGAACACGTTGTGAACTTGGGACGATTAGCTGTGTTTGAGAAAATTTTCAAATTCATTTACGTGATTTGATCAAGACTGTCAATAAAGAGTATAATCCAGATATATGGGCAAAGGTAAAGCAGTAGTGGTCAGAAAAATCAACCCAACTGTGTGCCTTGGAATCATGTTCGGTCTCTGTCTTTATCATGGTCATTACAATAAGCTTACCTTTGGGACAAACATACTATTACGCCATTGTGTTTATTCCCTTGATTCCCTCTTCATTTTCACATTCTAAGACCCTATTTGTACTGCCTAACTTTGTTCGTTATTCATCGTCTTCTAACCTTTGACCATAAATAGTTTTAAAGTGTTTCCTTCTTCCTACCATACTGCTAGTTATGGAGTATTAGATAGGCATCATCGAAAAGGGAAGTTTTCGTTCACAACACCAAAAAACAGTTTCACCTCTAGCTTAACTACCGAAGAGGACAAATAGGTTCAGTTCATGTATGGACTGTATGTTCACTGTATGGACTGCCGAAAGAGCAAAAGGAAAATGTCCCACTTCGACCTGTCATAGACACGGTTAACTCACTCTATCACCAAATCGCGAAGTGGCTAGCTGATATCCTCGAACCAGTTAAAAGACATATGACAAAATATAGCCTCAGAGATACATTTGACTTCATTCACTCAGTGAAGGATGTCAACGTGTCTGAAAGACAAATGATCTCACTAGATGTCACCTCTCCGTTCACTAGTATCCCCCTAACCGAAACAATATGCTTTATTTGTAATTACATCGAAACCAACAACCTAGAAGTTCCTCTTCCCATAAAATACCTGAAGGAACTTCTTCTCAGATGTACGTTCAATATCCAGTTCAAATTCAATGAACAGTTCTATGTACAGAAAGATAAAGTAGCCATGGGGTCTCCTCCCGGTCCACTCCTAGTCGACTGCTTCATGGCGAGACTCGAAAACAACATCCTCGATCTTTTGATCAGTCAACTGCACTTATACAAGAGATACGTAAATGATGCGTTTATAATCTGTGATGAAAAATGTGATTTATATTCTCTCCTTAAAACCTTCAACGTAGCGCAACCATCAATAAGAACGCGAATCGAACAACGCATTTCCATTCCTTGATGTACTACTCACCAGAAGACACGACTGTACGATCCAAAGATTGATATACTGCAAGCTAACATGAACTGGACAGTTTATCAACTTCCAAAGCTTTGTCCAAATGATCCAAAAGAGAAACCTGGTACGTTCATTATGTTCAAGGATGAGAAAAATCTACTTGGAATACATGGTAGAGAAAGAATTTAATTTATTACTTGAAACCCTACTACAAAATGGATATCCATCAAGATTTATCGACAAAAACATGAAGGAGAAGCCTCCGGTGTCAAACATCGCAACGGTTCCTAAGAAGACTCTCTTGCTGAACCTAGAATTCAAAGGTGATATCGCAGCGGAAATTCTCAGAAACCGCCTTTCTAAATGTCTGAAGAAGACATTTCCAACAGCCAATCTACGTATCACATTTTCCTGCAGACAGTTAATCCAGTCTGACGCTAAGGACAAGATACCACTTTTGGCCACTTCAATGTGTATTTATCAATTTACTTGCTCATGTGGATCAAAGTATATCGGCCGTACGCAACGTCAAGTCCACAAACGTATTCTTGAACACTGCCCAGCTTGGTTAGCCAGAGGAGAAAGGAAGAATAGCAACAGCTCGATCCTCTAACACCTTGTCATCTCTGGACATCGAGCACCCACCTCCCAACATGAATGCTTCACAGTGTTACACAGAGTCCTTCAATATCGTACAAAGGGACTTCGGATTCGCCATCTGTACATAGCTGATTCATTAGCTATTCGAGATCTGAAACCTGACCTCTGCATTCAAAAGCGATACCTAGATTCTCTTGCCCTACCTTGGCCAGAGTAAAGTTCTTACTACAATTTTGCTTCTTTCCTTTATTATGTAAGTTCACTATTATTATTATTACTTTTATTATCATTATTATTCCCATCACCCACATTTTATTACCACTCTATTACTGTTTATTAATGACATTGCTTTTTCATAAGGATTTTATATAAAACACTCTGGCTTTTCCAGTAGTTTCTGTCCATTTTACATGAGCTTATTGATTAGTCATTATCTCACACTTATTACGTCATGCCAACTTCTGTGTCTTTTCTAACTTACAATTAGTCATCCCTTCTTACACCTCATATTATGTGATACAATTTTTCAAGGACAAAGTTTACCAGTATCTGATTGGTCTAAAGATTTCTTTGTTCAATATAATTACGATTGTACAGCTCACGAAAATGGATCGTCGAAAAGAAAATTTTCTTCGCTGTTTGTGCCTTTTTCTTAAGATTCAGTTCCGTAAACACTGAAATTTGAGAGGAAGTCATACTGACAATGTAAGTAGTAAATCTTTAGAGACATGAGAGAGTCTGAGTCCTTCATCCTGGTGAACATGTGATTCCTCTCCCCCTTTAGACATATAAGAATCAAACTATGAATAGTGATTTTTACAAAAATTCACAACCTCAAGGGATAATGGCTCCATGAAAACACTGTACATAAATCAAATCTGTTTATTACAACAAAGAGGTGAACAACATCATTGTCTAATGCATAGATAAATTAAGTCTGTTTCAAATTCTTCATGTATAATTCTTCTTGAGCTGAATCTAATTCAACACGTAGGGCATGCACAAGTTTGATTAGACTAACATTTAATAATTGTAAACTTCTATTATTGTTGTGATATTGATCAAATTTTATCACAGAATCATTAAAATTGAAATCTGTTTGACAGAAAGAATCACATGTACTTTTTGAATATTCATCGTAGGTTTGAACACTTGAACTACACGATTTCACTGTTGATACATCAGATCTACTACAATCTGATTGCTGATTTTCATTGTCTTGTGGGATACACAATGAAGTTTGTATGCCAATATCTACTGTTGTCTGTATTTCTTGAGATTGTTTACTATTTTGTTGACGTATTTCGCCTAATTCAGCCTAGCGAATAAAAAAGGATAACGTGAATAATTAATCTATTATTTTTATGCATGAAAAAGCATGAAACGCATAACAGACAAATAAAGTAATTAGGCTGAGTAGAAAATTTCACAAGGAATGATTTCACTTAGAAGACCATTGAAAGCCAGGAAGAGTTGGACAACTATTTCTTTCCAGTCTGAAACTCTTCAGCTGTGCGTACCAACAACTCACTAGGGTCTAAACCTAAAACGTTTAGTTTCCAAAATGAGCTCAGCGGCCGAGTTTCAGTCAAATGGCACATGAAGTCAAACTCTTTTCAGTTGAGTATATAAATCTACACCAAACTAATGCTATCGGCGAGTATCTATCCTTGTATCCATCTTGGTGAACCTCATTGTACCGAACTTCTCATAAGTAGTCCTGGAATTCTAACCCGTAGGCAGCTACTAATGAACAGTGGGTCGGTTTTGAAGTGTTTGACTGTAAACATTTGGTTAATTTCACAGTACATGTCATCAAGAGCTGACTGACTGACCACATATTTTTAAGTCTTTTCCAGTAATATTTATTTCACTTCATGGTCAGTCATCATTAACTTTATCATCTTGAAGACGACTAGCGTGAAGCTTGATATTAACAAATAGCGGATCAATCATAATACCTTCTTGTTTAAGGGTGTGATCAGTGCGAATCTCTTTCGTCAAAAATTTAAAAATAGCTTTAGCTTAATTAACAGCAATTCAGATAAAACCAACAAACACGGATTTGTCTTAGAGCGATTACTGAATGATGATTAATTCGAACTAGGAATTTTTGGTTTCAGATCATAGAATTTGTGGAGATCTGGATTAATTTCCTATTGTTAGATTTCGTCACAAACCATCATTACTCAAGAAGAACATTGGACAGCTGTTCCGTCCTGTTTTGGGACTCATCATTAGTGTGCACTTAAGACCCTGCCAAAGATCGATCCCGTTACCTCCAGGTTACAAGATCAAGCTCGTTTACTATTCAGCCACTTGGTTGGAAATCAATGACCCATGAACTCTGTCACAGTGCTGCCCCTCAGAAATGCCTTCTTTGACCATCCACTTCACTTTGACATGGTGGACCCCACTGGTCACGACTTCCCACTGCAGCATAAGGAAATCCATTCAGTATCCATGAGTGATCTGGGAAATTATATTCAGATTATAATATTTGTGAGGATTTAGAATTAATTTGAATCGTTAGATTTTCGTCACAAACGAAAGTCAAAGAGATCATTGAAAGCACTGATAGTCTTAAATATCATATCGTAATTCATTTTCAGGATTACACAATACAGTCCATAGAAAACCTAGTTTGAAACAGAATTAAAATCAGTAAGATTAGAAATTTTAACTATCTTCTGAACCCACTGTCCTATGAGAAACAACTTATGAATAAACAGCAACTTTAATTCATCTACAGGCTATTTTCCTCAATGGTTGTAGAGACCACAAGCTTCTGGCTGTTCGTTCTTTATTACAGTGGTCATCAGCACACGTATTCTTGGCAATGGATTTATGACCTTATGTCATTTGATTCTTTCTGAAATTCTCTCTATCTTAATAAGATGCATCACACTGCGTGAAAACTAGCTAAATTGGTTACTATTCCATGACCATTTGACAATCATGCTATCTCGTTTCAAAGTAATCCATTCTGACTTCACTCCCCCAATCTTTCCTATTTCCTGTACTTTATGCTTATCTGTAATACAGACCAGAGCTTCGCGATTACACCTGTTTAACCAAATATATATCAATGTTGATGTAAAATGTTTAGGAAAGTTCATCTTTAGATATGATGGAGAAGATTTGTAGCTCAGGTGGATGATTTTGATGTAGTTGTGTTCTCTGAGCTGGATAGTTAATTTGCGAAGCTTTCATCACTCTACTAGCTGACATCTTCAGTGCATACTTCAATTTGAAGTGAGCTTTCAGATTTCTCCACGAGTTTATTAATCATCTCTCCTGGTGAACTTGGACGTGATTGGTTGTTTTTGTGTATTTTCACACCTTCTAGGCTACTTGTATTGGAACTGATTGTTTCTATTGTTCTATGTCAACAAAAGACTCAACAGCGAAAGAAGATAAAACCAACATCATCTTCAAAATAAATTGTAACAACTGCGAAAAACACTACACTGGCCAAAGTGGACATCCTCTTCTTCTTCATATCCACGAAGATAAACTAGCCGTCAAAAGATATGACATCCACTCCCTCATATCACTACATACAGACAACCACGGGCATCAATTTGATTGGGACAATGTTCAAGTATTAGACAGAGGAAACAACAAGAATTTTTTTGATTGCACACTAGTCAGTAACTAGTGTAATGTGTCTAGTCCTATCTTCGGTGCAGACTGAATTCTATCAGTCATGTTCGCAATGTGGCCACCATGCTAGGTGGCTCGCCATTACGGTGCACTGTGAATTGTTGGTATTAGATGATTGGAGGCAATCGGCAGGAAGCCTTGGACCTAGGTTTCGTCTCTGACTGCATCACTGGGTGACGCGGGTTCGAATCTCAGAAGGGACATCAGTTCCTTCAAGGTTGCAGATACGCCTTGATGATGAGTGCCAACTAGCACGAAACCTAGGTCCAAGGCTTCCTGCCGATTGCCTCCAACCATCTAATAGAAACAACAAGAATGCTAAAGAGTTTTTAGAAGCTTGGCATTCCAGTGAATCATCAATCAATAGACACATCGAGATCACCAAAATTTATCAACCAATAAGAAAGAAACCTCACACACAAAGGGTCAAAGTTCAAGTCAAAGAAACAATCAGTTCCAATACAAGTAGCCTAGAAGGTGTGAAAACACACAAAAACAACCAATCACGTCCAAAGTCACCGGGAGAGATGATTAATAAACTCGTGGAGAAATCTAAAAGCTCACTTCAGATTGAAGTATGCGCTGAAGATATCACTTAGTAGGGTGATGAAAGCTTCGCAGATCAACTATCCAGCTCAGAGAACACAACCACATCAAAAGTTCATCATTATATTTCATTGTGAATAACCTATTAAAATTACCTTATTATTATCACTAAGAATATGAAGTCAGTAATTGGGTTATATTTTTTATGGTGTTTGATCTGTCCATTTATTAGTGTACTACACAGCCTTTTACAATCTGATAACTTTCTTTATAAGTCAAGTCAACTGACTATTGTTCTGAGATGTCTTTTTTCTAGTCTACAAGGATCACCTTTGATTGTTAACCCATGATAAATAATATCACCAATCATATAGTCGGTATTTTGTTTTACTACCTTGTTATTTTTGTTTTCTCTTTCTTTGAAAACTTATTTTTAGTTTTACTTCCTTTTGGGGAAAGAAAAACCAACAGAAGCTTGAATAAAGAAATATATATATATATTGAAATTAACTGTCTACGACGTCAATCAATCGGAATTATTTCTCTCAATTCCTTTTTCTAACGAATTGCCTTCACTTCTTTTTCACTGTTCAATCACAAATGAGTTCAAAACTTTAGGAATGAATTTACCTTATTCATTTACTGTGAAAGTGCGTCGGTGGCACAGCGGTAGAATACTTGCCAACCACGCACGTGGCCAAGGGTTCGATCCCCGGCCGACGCACTCCTTTACCTCGCTAAGCCAGAAACAATACTGGTAAAGTGGAAAGGTTGGGCAAGAGGCTAGCAACCCCATCCTGTAAAATAAACACTGCTACAGAAACTTCAAGCCACTAGCTTGAAGCCCTATGTTCCACTAGGGAACGTGAAGGAAAAAAATCACTGTGGACATGAAAATAAGGAATAGAAATGATGTAGAATTGACTTCTATGATTAAACTGCAAAAGCGAAACAGAAAAGTATCACAAAGATTCAATGAATACTGCTCATTTCCACATGCATATATATGTAGGAAAGCTCCAGTGATTCAAAGAGAATTAGTCTACACTGTAGTGTATTAATCCATTTGTATAAGTATGTAGCGAATTAAAAGGAAATATTTTAAAGAAAATAAGCCTCGGTGAAACTACTCGAAAAGTTTCAAAGAAAGCTGTAAATATAAATTTTCTAATTAAAGGAAATGACGTACAAGCATTAGTCACACGAAGACTTGATAAAGCTATCAGAAGAACTCTTCATGCTTGTGTTCCTTAAAATCACCGAGCGGATACCTCAACAATCTCGGAAAGATCGGTCACCAATCCTCGACACTTCTAACTGCCCTTGATAAGTTTCAGAGTGTTTTTGTGGAAGCAAATACATAGGTAGTACAGATAGGCATGGTGGTGCATTTGCCAAAGTGGTTGAAGACATCTGAAGTCAAATTACCAGAAAGTTCAATAACAAAGCATCTTGAAGAATATGGACACGATGCTGACAATGTCAAGTCATCCGCTGTTGTCAGCAAACAAAAAATAACAGGAAATGTTTGCAATCTCAGAGGCTTGTGTGATTAGAGTTTATAAACCCCCCTTCTGTGTGTACAGAAGGAAACGGTGATCACTCTGAATCTCCCATGATAATACATCTTACTCATTCACTGTTACTATTTCTATTTTATATTTTATTCTTGATTCGTTTAAAGCTATCTCTTTATTGGTACTATTATCTTAACTCGTTCTACTATTATTATTACCATTACTATTTTTATCAGTATTATTCAATCTGCAGTTCTTAGCATATTCAAGTTCTTCTTCTGATAACTAACTGTCTATTTAAGTGATGTAACTGAATCTTAATTTTAATCTCTGATACTTCCTTCCCCTTTATCTGTTTGAACATGATCTAAAAAACATTCAAACCTGTCGATCTGCATAATTTATTCAATGCAATCCTGAAAGTTCATATATCACTGTATATAGAAAGGACTCACTTGAAGAGTTCTACCAAAGTTTAATGAATTAATTAAATTCTGCTTCATTAACGTTTGTAGCTTTCAAAAAAAAAATGAAATCAACACTTCCAATCTACGGTTACTTATATTAGTAATATTATTCTCTAACATTA